TTTGGATTAATTGACATTTTCCATAAGGATAACCAGTTACCCCAGCATTATTTATTATATGATCCATAATACATGGGCAGTCTTATTGTATATATGGTACAGTCTTACTCTCTTTATTATTTAAAACAGTTAAAAGGCTATATCATTTTACAGTACTTTGTTAAGAATTTTAGAATCAGGGACACCTGGGTGGCTCAGCGGTCGTGCATCTGCCTTCAGCTCAGGACATGATCCCAGGGTTCCGGGATCAAGTCCCACATTGGGCTCCCTACAAGGAGCTTGCATCTCACTCTGCCTATGTCTCTGCCTCTCTCTGTGTGTCTCTCATGAATAAATAAATTTTAAAAAAACCTTTAAAATAAAAAAAATTTTTTAGAATCAGTTTGCCGAATTCCATGAAAAAAATCTCAGGAATTTGTTCATTGTCTTGCACTGAATTAATTTGGGGAAAATGGAGATTATTATGATATCATGACTTCACATTAAAGAGCATTTATGTTAGTCTTTATCAAGTGAAGGGTTAGGGCATTTACGTACACATATTACATGGTATAAATTTGAAGTAGGATTTAGTGGGAAACAGTAAGTACGTGCCAGAGCACCCACAATCCCCTGAATTCTAGTATCTTTACATAGATGTGTACTTAGGGTAGACATAACTAGAATTAATATGCCAGGGAAAGAGCTCCTAAGTAATAATTGGAACATTGAGGTTGATGAAATGGTTTTATTAGAAAGGGGAGTTCTGGGGATCCCTGGGTGGCTCAGCAGTTTAGTGCCTGCCTTCGGCCCAGGGTGTGATTCTGGAGTCCCAGGATGGAGTCCCGCATCAGGCTCCCTGCAGGGAGCCTGCTTCTCCCTTTGCCGTGTTTCTGCCTCTCTCTCTCTGTGTGTCTCTCATGAATGAATAAATAAATAAAAATCTTAAAAAAAAAATAGAAAGGGGAACTTCTGTCTCTCATCAGTCTTTTCTTGGATTGAGTAAACTCAGACCTGCTGAGTCAGCTTATTGATAGGCTATCAAGAGTAAGAAATAAACCTCTGGAATCATCTGAGTTTCTCTTCTCCATCATCTTTTATACACTTTGTATTATTTTGTTGCTCCTTCCACAGAGGTCTTGCAGATCTTTTATTAGATTGATTCTCAGGGACACCTGGTTGGCTCAGTTGTTAGAGCATGCGACTCTTGATCTTGGGGTTGTGAGTTTGAGCCCCCACATTAGATGTAGAGATTACTTTGAAATAAGTAATTTTTATTTATTTATTTTTTTAATTTTTAAATTTATTTATGATAGTCACACAGAGAGAGAGGCAGAGACACAGGCAGAGAGAGAAGCAGGCTCCATGCACCGGGAGCCCGACGTGGGATTCGATCCTGGGTCTCCAGGATCGCGCCCTGGGCCAAAGGCAGGCGCTAAACCGCTGCGCCACCCAGGGATCCCTGAAATAAGTAATTTTTAAAAAGAATTTATTCCTAGATTCCTAACAGTTTTTGTTGCTGTTATGAGGGGCATGTTTTTCTTATTCATTCATTCATTCATTCATTCATTTATTTTATTTATTTATTTTATTGTTTATATGTTTGTTTGTTTAGGGAGGGAGGCGAGGAAATAGAGAATCATAAGCAGGCTCCATGCCCAGTGCAGAGCCCAACTTGGGGCTTGATCTCAGAACCCTGAGATCTTGACCTTGGCCAATGTCAAGAGTCAGACACTAACTGGGCCACCCAGACATCCCGAAGGGCATCATTTTTTTTAAATTGGGTCTGGCAATGGAATACTATATAGGGTTTGTATCCTTGATCTTATATCCAGCTCTCCTGCTAAACTCTTACATTATTAGTCTTTATAGATACTAGTTATTAGCCCTGATATTTTCTAGGTTCTCTTGGGTTTTTCTATAGATACCATGTTTCCTACAAATAATTTTTATCTCTACTGTTCCAGTTTTTATGTCCTTTTTCTTATCTTCATACTATTTAACCTCCTGTATATAATATCGGTGATATAGGTACCCTTGTCTTACACGTGACCTTTCACGTGATATTTTGCTGCAGGTTTCCTGTAGATATACTTTATTAAGTTAAAAGATCCCTATTTCTATTATTCTGAGATTTTAAGAATTAGTGAATGTTGAGCTTTTCAAAATATTCAAATTTTGATACTAATTTCTAAATTAATTGCATCATGATAAAGAAATATGGTTTGTTTGGTAATAGTTTTCTGTATTTATGAGGTATGTTATGGCCTAGAATTTAAGTGTTACATAGAGATAAAAAGAATAACAAAACTTGATCAGTTCCATAGAAGTCAGAAAATCAAGAAAAAGCAGGAAAGCACATAAGATGGTAGAAATAAATCAGGTATGAAAATGTCAATCTGCTAAATTCTCTAATTAAAATACAGATAAATATGTTTAAACAGAACAAGCTAGCAAAAAAACCCCAAAAAGATACATAATTCATTTATAGTAGATACCCATGGTTAAAAGTTAAAGGATGAGGGGTACCTGGGTGGCTCAGTCAGTTAAGTGTCTGACTTGATCTTGGCTCATGTCTCAAGCTCAGTTTTGTAAGTTCAAGCCCCATTTTGGGCTCCATGCTAGGTCTGGAGTCTACTTAATTAAAAAAAAAAAAAAGGTAAAAAGGCAAATAGTGATAAAATGCTGGTGTAGGTAGGTTTGTATCATAAAATAGACTTTAGGGGATCCCTGGATGGCTCAGCGGTTTAGCGCCTGCCTTGGCCCAGGGCGTGATCCTGGAGTCCCGGGATCGAGTCCCATGTCAGGCTCCCGGCATGGAGCCTGCTTCTCCCTCCTCCTGTGTCTCTGCCTCTCTCTATATATATATATGTCTATCATAAATAAATAAATAAATCTTTAAAAAAATAAAAAATAAAATAGACTTTAAAAGAAAAAGCATTGTTGGGGAGAATTAAAGGGAAAAAAGTAGGGAAAAACTCAAACCTACAGAAAAGTGGAAATAACAGTACAATAAACATTTACATGGATAATACCTACACTAACTAGTTTTGACAGTTATTAACATTTTGCTACATTTATAGGTCCTGGAAAATTATTTCACCTGTCTAAAATATTATATTTAGGGAGATTGACAATTCCATAATCACATGTAGTACATATTTAAATTTCCACACTTTTCCTCAGAATGACTTTTATCCTCCATCCCTGAACATGTGTTGAATTAGTTGTTATCTTTTAGTTATCTTAGAGTCTTCAACTGACAGTTTTGTTTCCCGTGACATGATTTATTAAAGATACCAGGACCCTTGTCCTGCAATGTCCCACATTTTGAATTTCTTTGAATGTTATGGCTTTGACTTTCTGAGAGAAAGGTAAATGTTCTGTAGAATGTCCCATATTCTAATTCCCTGATTATTTGAATGTGGTGCTTTTAGCATATTTTTTTATCCTGGTTATTTATTCTAAACTAGAAGCTAAGTATAAAAGTTTGGTTTAATTCTATATAAGTGTTTTGCTTTTTTTTTTTTTTGTATACTTCATGAGTGATAGATAATGTGTCACTTATGTCACATCACATTAAGAGGACTTTTTGAGTTGTCCCTCTACTAATGATTCTAAGCCACATCTCCTTGTAAAGGTGTGTGTTTCCCTTTGTCTTTAATCTGTGTGGAAATGCTTTGACACTATATGAATATACTCTTCTTCATCAACTTCTCAACTAATAGCCTCCTGTGATCCTTTCCTGATTTTCTATTAGCTGGGATTTTTTTTTGCAAAAAGAGCTTCCCAAATAGGAATAAGTAGAATTTTTCCTGAAAAAAAAAATAAGTACATAATTCTTTTCCATTAATGTTTAATTTTCTTTTTCTTTCTTTCTTTTTTTTTTTTAATTTTCTAAAGATGTAACAGTCACCTACAGTGGTAGCAAATGTCACCCAATACACACTTCTTACATTTATGGACTAGTGAGATTTTATGCATGCAATCTAGTGTAGCTAATTATAGTTTTTACTATTTTTGCTGATAATCTTCCAAATTTAGCCAATAGGAGGCCTTTTAAGCTGACTCCTGCGTTATTTTGACATCTGTCTGGCACATGATGTTCCAGGATCCCTCTTCTTGAATAATAGGTGGGTCTTAGAATGCTTTAGTGTAGGCCATTTACCCTCAGTAGTTGTTACCATTGTTTTTGTTGTTAATAGTCTGTGCTTATTTAGATTTACCCTTGTGTTTATTAGGTTCCCCATTTATATTAATTTCCTGTGGCTGCTGTATCAAATGATCACAAACCTGGTGTTTTATAATACTGCAACTGTATTTTCTTAATGATTCTGAAGGTCTGAGGTCCAAAGTGGGTTTCACTGGACCAAAATCAGGGTGTCAGAAACAGTGTTCTCCCTCTACAGTACATTTCCTAGCCCTTTCCAGCATCTAGAATTGCATTCCTTGGATTCCTTGATTCATGGAATCAACTTCAGGGCTAGCAGTGTAGCATCTTCGAATCTCTCTGGTAGAGCTTCACATTACCTAACCCTCTGTAATAAAATCTTTCTCCAATTCCATTTTATAAGGTTGCTTGTAATAACATTTAGGGCCCATCCAAGAGTCTCCCTAACTCAAGATACTTAATTGGAGAAAAAAAAAAAAGAGATACTTAATTACATCTGCAAAATTATTTTTGTATATAAGGTAATGTGTATGGGTTTTGAGGTTTAGAACGTACATATTTGGGGAGTTGTTGATCAGGCTGCCATGCCATTCTTTCTTTTACATTATTCTGGATTCAATTTCCTTTTTCTAGGTTGTCAGCTATTTTCATTTGCATCTTGACGTCATTTCATTATTCTCTGGCTTCTTTAAGTAGCCAGAAGTTATGAAATATGCTATCCAATTTATTTTTTTTTTCTCTCTGGTTGACTTTAAGAACTTTTATGCGCTTTGACTTCAACCCGCATGGTTGTGGATTTAGTTTTATCTGTCATAGCCAGGACATAGGACTCCTTGTCCTATGGTCCCATATGGTCATTGAAATCATAGAAAAAAAAATTGAATATCTTAGAAGAGAAAAGACTTTAAATATATATGGCACAGTCTTCTTTGGAACAGCAGCTAGTTTCTCTGGATTACTGGCCAACCCCATTTTCAGACACTGCTTCAAGGTTAAACATGATGCTTTGAAGACGTACGCATCAGTGACTACACTTCCGTTTTTGTCTACTATAGTCGCCTATAAGTTCCTTGTAACAGATACTTTGTATTTAGGCAATATAAGCCAGGAAAATTGTGTTTTGAGGAGTACACTGGTCGGCATAGTATGTGGTTTTTTATATCCCTGTGGTTTGGCTTTTTCTAAAAATGGACACCTGGCAGTGAAGTATCATACTGTTCCACTGCCACCAAAAGAAAGTTTTTACTTTACTGGCTGCTGCTTAGTCAAAGAGAGATAAAAGGGATGATAATTCCTTTAGTCTTTCAGACTGTCTTTGGAATATTTAATGGTCTGCAGCACTATGCAATATTTGAAAGTACACTTCAGAAAACTGTACATGAAGATTAATCAAAGAGTGAATGGATACTAAATCAGCAGAGTGGAGTTTTTTATGATGAGGACTCAGGCATTGCTGAAGGAGTTAAAAGTAACTCTGGACAGTTTGTTTCTGTTCCTTTTGCCTGGTATACAGCAGGTACTCAATAAATATTCAGTACTTCAGTATTTAAAAAAAAAGTATTGAGTATTGTAAAAAAAAAGTATTGAGTAAAAGTATCTTGAGTATTTTTTATTTTCAGTTGTTCTGGGAAATTTCAGCCATCTTCTCTTCAGATATCTCTCCCATTGTTTACCTTCTGAACTTACTAATTCTGTTGTCTTTCATGTTTTCCATTCACTTTTCTCTACCTTTTGGCTAATTTTCTCTTAAATTCTCTTCTAGTTCTTTAATTCTTTCTTCAGCTCTAATCTGTTTGTTTCAACTGAAGTTTTATTTTAATGACTATATTATTAAAAATTCAGATCTTTATCATTTTTATGCTTCCTTTTTATATGTGTTGTCTTAAAGCTTTGAGATATTCTAGACTCATCTCAATAGAAACTTCTTTTTGTATTTTGGTCTACAATTTATTAGCTTTGATTTCTTTCTCAAGCTGATGGTGTATTTGTTTTTTATTTTAGAGGAATTACTCCAAATCTTTTCCACTAAATGATGTTCTAGCCTTCTTGCTTCTAGTACGATGATTCTTGTAGCAATTCTTCTGAAACTTTAGAACCATGTCTCTCTCTCTTTTTTTTAAAGATTTTATTTATTCATGAGAGAGAGAGAAAGAGAGAGAAGCAGAGACATAGGCAGAGGGAGAAGCAGGCTCCATGCAGGAAGCCTGATACGGGACTCAATACCAGGACTCTAATATCATGCCCTGGGCCAAAGGTAAACGCTCAACCACTGAGGTACCCAGGCATCCCCATTTTTCTCTGTTTGAATTATTAATTTTTAATTATTGAATTATTTATCTTTGATAATAGTCATTTGTTTTTTTGGCATCTATTAGACTAGTCCTGTAATTTTCTCCTTTGATTTGTTAAAAGTATTATTTTACTGGATTGCTGATGAATGACTAGCATTAATTTGAGAGAAAGAGCAAGAGGGAGACAGGGAGGGATAGGAAAAGGAAAAAACAAGAGTTTTTCTATCCAGGCCACCTGGGAGGCTCAGTTACTTAAACGTCTGACTCTTTTTTTTTTTTTTTTTTAAGGGTTCGACTCTTGATTTCAGCTCAGGTCATGATCTCAGGGTTGTGAGATCAGGCCCGGCATTGGGCTCTGTGCTGGGCATGGAACCTGCTTAAGATTCTCTGTCTTCCTCTCCCCTTGCCCTGCCCCTCTCTCTCCCTCTGCCTTTTTCTCTGTCTCTCTCCCTCTCTTAAAAAAAAAAAAAAGTTTTTTCTATCCTCACAGGTTGGATTATTGTGTTCTTTTTTTTCTTTGTATATTTTCTATGTCAAGTTTGGACATCTAGATTCTAGTTTCATAAAATGAATTTGGGAGACTTTCCTTTTTTTATATGCTATCACCTGTTGATAATAATAAAATAATAATGAATAATAAAATGATAATAAAAGTCCCTAGAAATGGTCAATTGTTTACTAAGATTATGTGGTTTTATTTTTTTTAACGATTTATGTATTTATTTATTCATAGAGAAAGAGAGAGAGGCAGAGACACAGGCAGAGGGAGAAGCAGGCGCCCTGTGGGAAGCCCGACGTGGAACTTGATCCCGGGTCTCCAGGATCATACCCCGGGCTGCAGGCAGTGATAAACCGCTGGGCTACCCGGGCTGACCGATTACATGGTTTTAATTGCTGTGGTCCACGAAAGAGATGAAATAGGACAGGAGATCTTCTAGTATCGCCCCCCCCTTTTTAAAGATTTTATTTATTTATTCATGGGAGACGCAGAGAGAGAGAGAGGCAGAGACACAGGCAGAGGGAGAAGCAGGTTCCATGCAGGGAGCCCAATGTGGGACTCGATCCCAGGACTCCAGGATCATGCCCTGAGCTGAAGGCAGGCGCCAAACCACTGAGCCACCCAAGCGTCCCTTCTAGTACGTTTCTTGAATTGTTTTTGTTTTTAATTTGTTGAAACAGATTTTCTTCAGTTTTTTCCAAGAAAACATCTTAAAGCCAAAACTATGGATCTCCTCTTAGTTTTACAATATCTTATTCTACCTTTTTAAAAAATTTATTTTTAGAGAGTGAACACATGTGTATACACACACGAGTACAGCGAGGGGAGAGGGGCAAAAGAGAGGGAGAGAGAGAATCCCAGGCAGACACCCTCTGAGCACAGAGCCCGTTGCAGGACTCAGTCTCAGTACCTTGAGATTATGACCTGAGCCAAAATCAAGAACTGGATGCTGAACCGACTGAACCACTTAGGTGCCCCTTATTCTACTTTTTAATGTATTTCTATTTTATAAGTATCATCAAAGTTCTTTCTCTTAATCTTCTGGGGAAATTTGAAATAATTTTTTCTCCCAGACTCATCTTCTCTAATTTCAACCAGACCTCATAGTGATTTTTCTTCATTTTTTGGATATTAAATTACTTCTGTTTGAAGAGGTAAGAAAGAAATCATATTTCTGGATGTTAATGATCTCACCCTGCCTTCTCACTAAACCTATCATTTTCTATTCCCCTGCAAAAAAAAATTTATTTTCATCAGTTTTAGTCAGCTCCATTCCCTCATTTCTCTCATGCTCATTCTCCTTCTCTAATCCAATTTCTTTTTCCTTTCTCTCTTCCATCCCTTGAGGGAGTGATTCTTTACACTAACTGCACATGAGTTTTATCTATGGAACTTTAAAAAGGGGGCGGGCAGAGCTGTGGGTTATAAAGTCTTCAATTTGCTGGCCTGGAAAGAATCACTAAACTAGGATTAGTTTTTTCTCTCTTACCCTAAAGAGACAGCTTGAATCTTAGCTTCAACACTAATTGAATACTTTTTATGAGTAAGACCCAAGATAAGTGATGACAAGGAAACAAAAGATGAATAGAGCATGTTTCTGATCTTAAAGCAGCTAATAGACATGAAAAAACATAATCAATTTTAGGATATCAAAAGCAGTTCTGCCTAGGTAGGCAATGAACTCATCATAAAGAGTTTATCATTAAAAAAAAAAAGAGTATCATTTTCTGAGATAAAGAGACTACAGGAAAAAAATGGGGTATTGCGGGTTAGATCAGAAGTTAGTCTTTGAACATGTTAATTTTGAGTTGTCTTTTCGTTTTCTTAGTAGAGATGTTCAGTAGGCATTTGGACAAAAAGAATCTGGAGTTGAGAGGACAGAGCTGGCTTTAAAAATTTGGGCTTCATCAGTTCATATTTGACATATAAAACCACAAGATAGAATAAGATCACCTGGGGAATAAGCATAGCTACAGAAAAGAAGGCATCTAACACTTTTGGGGGAATATGAAAAGTTAGCCATGGAGTCATAAAGGAAAATGTTGTGATCTCTGACCATAGAAAGAAAAGGAAAATTCTATCATTGCTTCTCAGATTTTAATATGAATCATTTTGTCGAAGTTTAGTATGTCTGAAATGGGGCTTCTAACATCCTTCCCGAAGATTATGCTGCTAATCGTCTATAGACCAAACTTTGAATAGCTAGATTTTGTATGACAAATGAGACATAAAGTGAAAAGCAATAAAAGATTGTAACTTTTAGAGGAGAATAAAGATTAATAATCTAAAATATCTAGAGTAAAAGGGTACCTATGAATTAACAAGAAAAAAATAGAATAAAAAATATGGATAGGGAATTTTCCAAAGAGAAATGTAAATGTCCAATGAAAATGAAAAATGTTCAGTTTTCTGGAAAATAGAAATGTAAACAACAAGATCACCTTTTCCCCTTCAGATTGGCAAAAGTTTCAACTTTTGGTAATATGCAGTGTTGGTGGAATTATGAGGAAAAGGGCATAAGGATGTATTTACACCCTCTTAATGGGAGTGTGGCTTAGTACTTTTCTTCTTTTGAAAGACGATTTGACACATTTATTAAATTTTTTAGGGCACGTAACTTTGAATTCAGGAATCCTGTGCCTTGATATCTAAAAGAGAAACTTGTACCCTTGCCCAGAACGGCAGCTCAGGACTATTCATTGAAACATTGTTGGGGGATCCCTGGGTGGCGCAGCGGTTTGGCGCCTGCCTTTGGCCGAGGGCGCGATCCTGGAGACCCGGGATCGAATCCCACGTCAGGCTCCCGGTGCATGGAGCCTGCTTCTCCCTCTGCCTGTGTCTCTGCCTCTCTCTCTCTCTGTGTGACTATCATAAATAAATAAAAATTAAAAAAAAAAAAGAAACATTGTTGGAAGTGGAGAAAAATGGAATAAACTAAATCTCCTCTAGTAAGAGAATTATTAAACCAAACGTCTTGAAGCCCCCTTGTTCACCTATCTACTCTCTCTTGTACATTTTTAAATTATAGCAGTAGTTTAAAAGGCCATAATTTCTAGTATATATTATATTTATGCTGTTCATTTTTGGTCATACCTTAGGATTCCAGATTTAGATTTGGAATCTAAACGCATACTCTATGCAGCTCATAGAGTATCTAGCGTGTAGTGTAATTGCAAAACATGTTCTCTAACCACTCAGGTAAATTGGGACTCATTCTTCACCAAAGGAAAAAAAAAACTGGCTTATAAAAGAAACATGTAATATGTGCCTATACTCTGTAACCATTCAACTTCTGAATTCTAGGCTGGCTGGCTGGCTGGCTGGCTGGATAAGTAAATGGATGAGGCTTGGAATCCTGCTAAGAATTTGTTTCATTGATAAAGTCTTGATTTTAATTACTACCTACTCCTCCCCTCTTCTTTTCTCTCAAACGATTTTTCCCTCTTGTTTGTCAGTTACTTTGAAGTTTATACGTCTCAGAACAATGCACCTTAGTAGGATTTGAGATGGTTAAGAATTTTGCCTTTCTTTTATAGAGTGGAGAATTATAATGTGATTTTAAAGGGAAAGGAGAAAAAGAGAACTAATTTTCAAACAGATCAGTTAGGAAGAATATATAAAGACTTTGAGAATCTGGAAATTGTTTCTCCTAAAATCATCCATGTCCACCCACTATTAGATTGCTGTTGAAGTTTGAAGATCATCAAAATAAGCAGTGTCGTAATATTACCAAATGAATGTATCTGTACTTAACCACTTTATTATTTTATCCTTTAACAGTCATTTTAAAGAAGTAAAATATGTATGTATTGACATTGAAAGAATTTTTGAGGCATGTTGTTGAGTGAAAAAAGCAAATGTTAAAAATATTTCTTACATATAATAAATTTGTACATGTATGTATTTGTAGATTTTATATGTGTGAATTATGATATTTACTTAAATAAAAAGATAAAATGTGGAAAGGATGCATAACAAACATCCTAATTAAAAAAAATAGCACAAAAAAAAATAGCACTTAAGTTTTTGGCAAGGGGCCCAAGAACATGGGGTAGGTAAAAAGAGATTTTCATCATTTATTCTGAATACTTATGTATTATTTGAATTTTTACAGTTGAGAATTTATTGTATTTCTAGTATAGAAAAGAATTTTAAGATGTTTAATAATAAATAGGAAAAATTACTATATTAAATTATCTCACAGGTCTCTAAGCCCTAAATTTCAAAGAACATTGGCAGTTACTGTAATATTTTAATAAAAATATTCTAATTCATATCCTAAATGATTTTTTTTATATTCTTTTAAAATATTTTTCAGGTGTGGAATATCAAACAAATGATTAAGTTGACACAGGAACATATAGAAGCCCTATTGGACAAGTTTGGTGGGGAGCATAATCCACCATCAATATATCTGGAGGTAAGCTTTTGAGTATCATATCTGTTATAATTTTGAGAATAAAAACATGAACTTATGAGCATTTGTACTGGTAATATTGTTTCTCTTAGAGGGTGAGATGAGAAAGGGGAAGGTGAATTACATTTGTCTTTATTATACTTCTTAATTTTGTTTTACTTGTTACAGTAATATGTGGTATTTTGTAAGTTGGAAATTATCCAGAGTAAAGGAAAAGAGGTGTATAAACTTAAAAATACTACTCTGATAAAAAACTTATTTTAAAAAGAGAGAGAGGGAAAACATTTAGTTGTGGAGGTTAGGAAACTAGTTACCATATTAGGAAATGGGGTGAAATTTATAAATATCTTTTTTCCAGAACACCCCCCCCCCATTGGTTTTTGCTTTCTTAATTGTAATTTATAATACTTAAATAGCTCAGGGAAGTCTGGGTGGCTCAGTGGTTGAGCTTCTGCCTTTGGCTCAGGGCAGTGATCCCAGGGCCCTGGGATTGAGTCCCCCATCGCACCTCCCCCTACCCCGGTGGGGAGCCTGCTTCTCCCTCTGCTATGTCTCTGCTTCTTTCTCTGTGCCTCTCATGAATAAATAAATAAATAAAATCTTTAATAAATAAATAGTTCAGAGTTGCTTAGCTCTACTGTTTTAATAGTACCTTTAGGCTTTTGTATCAAACCTTGAGCATCATTGTAAAATTTAGAGAGTAGTTAGTAATTGTTAATACTATGACGTAGTAGTTACTACTGGCATCAGTTTCCTCATGTAAGTCACTCAGGTTCCGTGATGAACATGCTGGTAGGAAATCTAGTAGTCAGGCTTCACAGCCTATGCTGCTCACCACTGCACATAGTGCCTGTCTCTGTAAAAGCTAGTTTCAGCTGTAATCACTAATCATACAGGAATCTAGCCCTAAATTACAAATGGTCAGGTTACCATTTGCTTTCAAATGCCAGTTTTTTAGGCATGTATTTTGATAGACTCCTAAACTAAATTTCTAATTTTGTAATCTGCTTGCTTTTAAAGGGCACATTAAATCTTAAAAGTTAAGTTTGCATTTCTAAAATAAATTTGGAAGTTTGATAATAACCATTAATAAACTATTGTCTTCTTCATATGGCTTATCCCAGAGCATTCTGCCAGATATCAGTACTAGGACTCGAATTCATACCTCTAAAGACTAGTTAGTGTACTTTCTAATATTCCTTGCTGATTTACTTTTATGTCTGAGGAGCGTAAGTACAGGAGTCATAAAGAGGCAGAGTCCTGGTGAAAATAGTAATTCTTTGTTAATTAGAATTAGACAACTTAACCAGCTGTTTTTCTGCCAGCCATTTCTTTGTCTTGGGAGATTTTCCTCCTGCTTAGTTGTAATACATTTGCATCAGTACCTGTGTTTTGAGTATAGCAGAGATTCACTTCCCCCTCCAAACTCACTCTTTCAGGCTTTTTACTCTTGAAATTACATTTGGTGAGGACAACATACAGCAAACCATACCTCATAGATTATATCATGAGCCCGTAGAGCCTTATTCTCAGTGACAAACACTACACAATTTCTCTGTAGAAGGTGCTATAATATATAAGTGACCTTGGAGTTATACAGGCCCTTTGTTTGCATCCTAGCTGTGCCTTAGTTTATACAGATAGGTTACCTAACCTTCTGTACCTCACCTCATTGGTAAAATTGGAGTACTGTCACACATGTAGTAATTCAAGGTTTACTTAAGTTTATAATTGCAAAATAACATCATTCTTGACATATTGAGTGCTCCATAATTTTTTGATTCATTCATTCAAATATTTATTGAGTACTTGTTTATATTTATGCTTTTCTAGGCTTTAGGAATATAGCAGAAAAACCACTTTGTCTTTAAGCAGCTTGTATTTTTATCAGAGGATGAAATTACAGGCAATAAACAATGAACTTACACCATTTGATACACTATGAAGAGGAGCCAGCCTGGAGATGACAGTATTTTTCCCTGGGGAAAGTTGACCAGAGGAAAGACCTTTGGGTACTGATACTTAAAGGCCCTTAAGTGAGAAACCAAGTCTCCTCGTTATCCACTGAAACCCACCATTCTGCTTTCTTTCTCTAGGAGTCTGATTGCGCTAGGAACCTCAAATAAATGGAATTATACAACATTTGTCCTTTTGTGACAAGCTTATTTCATTTAGCATAATGTCTTCAAGGTCCATCCATGTTGTAGCATAGGTCAAAATTTCCTTGCTAAATAAGGCTAAATAATATTGCACATTTTGTTATCTGTTTATCTATCAGTGGATACCAGTGGTTGATCATTTCTGCCTTTTTGTTATCATGATTAATGCTGATATTACTCCTTTTGACTGTAAACCCAGAAGTGGACTTACTAAATCATGTGGTAATTCTGTATTTCATTTTTTAAACAATTGCCATACTGTTTTCCTTATCAGCAGTCTTTTACATTCCTATTAGCAGTACACAGGAGCTCCCTTTACTCCTCATCCTTGCTGACACTTTCTGTGTGTGTTTATATAATAGCTATCCTAATGAGTGTGAAATGGTATCTCATGGTTTTGATTTGCATTTCCCCATGACTAATGTTGAGCATCTTTTCATGTGCTTATTGGCCATTCCTATTTCTTCTGTGGAGAAATGTCTAAGTCTTTACCCATTTTTTAAATTGGGTTGTTTGTTTTGTTGTTGAGTTGTGGGAGTTCTTTATGTATTTCAAGTATCAGTCCTAATTAGATACATGATTACATGATTTGCAGATATTTTTTTCTATTCTACGGGTTCCCTTTTCACTCTGTTGATTATATCCTTTGTGCAAAAGTTTTTATTTTGATGATGTCTAGCTTACTTATTTTTTCGTCTTGTTGCCTGTGCTTTTGGTATCATATCCCAGAAATCATTACCAGATATAGTGTCATGAAGCTTTTTTTCTGTTGCCCTCTAAGATTCATAATTATAATTAGCCCTTATGTTGAGGTTTCTGATCCATTTTGAGTTAATTTTTCTGTATGGTATAAGGTAAAGGTTCAGCTTCATTCTTTTGCATGTTTATATCCAGTTTTCCCAGCCCCATTTTCTGAAAAGACAATCCTTTCCCATTGTATAGAAACTTTTGATATGTGCCCTTGTCAAAAATCATTTGACCATGTATGTGAGAATTTGTTTCTGGGCTCTTTTCTTTTCCACTGGTATTTATGTCCAACTTTATGCCAATTTATACTATACTGATTTGATTACTGTAGCTTTGTAATAAGTTTTGGAATTAGGAAGTGTGAGACCTCTAACTTTGTTTTCCTTTTTTTTTTTTTAAGATTTTATTTATTCATGAGAGACAGAGAGAGAGAGGCAGAGACACACAGGCAGAGGGAGAACCAGGCTCCATGCAGGGAGCCCGACACAGGACTCGATTCCGGGACTCCAGGATCATGCCTTGGGCTAAACGCAGACGCCAAACCGCTGAGCCACCCAGGGATCCCCTTTGTTTTCCTTTTTAGGATTGTTTTGGCTATTCAGTATCCCTTGAGATTTCATATTAATTTCAGGGTACATTTTTCTATTTCTGAAACACATTGGGATTTTGATGGAGATTGAATTCATAGATTGCTTTGGATAGTATTGACATCTTAGGAGTTCTTAAGTCTTAAATATAAATGGATAGCTAAGGGACACCTGAGTGGCTCCATGGTTGAGCATCTGCCTTTGGCACAGGTCATGGTCCTGGGGTCCTGGGATAGAGTCCCGCATCACACTGCCTCTACAGAGCCTGCTTCTCCCTCTGCCTGTGTCTCTGCCTCTCTATGTCTCTCATGAATAAGTAAAATCAGATAGATAGATAGATAGATAGATAGATAGATAGATAGATAAATAGAAAGATGATAGATCGATAGATAGATAAAGAATAACCAAATATTGGAAGAAAGCTTCTAACAGGAATAGTAAAAATGGCCAAAAGGAACTCAGAAGCAGTGCAGAGAACAGATGAAAACCTGAAAATGACTATAATTTACAGAGATAAGACAGTCCATTTTTGTTTCACGACTGTACAAAACAAAAGTCTTAATCGAGCACAAGATAGAGCTTTTGGTATTAAATTAAAATAATTAAAATAGTAAAATAGTAAGCAGAAAATATAAATATATATGTGTATGTTTGTCTCTACATATAAGTAAGTGTTGTAAGATGAAGAAATCTCTAGAAAGGCGAATAAGAACAAAGATGGAAAATACAAGAGGAAGATGAGAAAAATTAGAGAATAAATCTAGGAGATCTATAAGAATTACAGCTGTTTTTAGCTACAGAAAAACAAAATACCAAAGGAGGAAAAAAAAAAAAAAAGACACCTGGGTGGCTCAGCTGTTGAGCGCCTGCCTTTGGCCCAGGGCATCAGGACATGATCCTGGGGACCTGGGATTGAGTACCGCATCAGGCTCCCTGTAGGGAGCCTGCTTTTCTCTCTGCCTATGTCTCTGCTTCTCTCTCTGTGTCTCTCATGAATAAATGGATAAAATCTTAAAAAAGAAAGAAAAAGAAAGAGAGAGAGAGAGAAAGAAAGAGAAAGAAATAGAAAGAAAGAAAGAAAGAAAGAAAGAAAGAAAGAAAGAAAGAAAGAAAAGAAAAAACACCTAATCACAAGTTGCCCAAACAAGTAGGAATTTTATTTTCCTCTCCTATAACAAGAAGCATGGAGTAAATTATTTTAACATTGGTCCTACAGCTCAAAGGTGTCATATGCTGGGGTGGAGCTCTGCAATCCTTTTGGCTTTTCTGTCATGACTGCAGCAGATCTGTATGCTTTCATAGGACACCTCAGAGCAGGAACCCGGGATCAGAGAGGCTCTTTTGTGTTCTGAGCTCTTTCAAGGAGGAAGTTTTTCCCTCCAAATCCCCTGTAAGCCTTTTCCTTTACATCTCATCAGCTGGAATGGAGTTCCATACATCCCTACACCAGTACTGTGTACATTTCTTGAAATAAGAGGCTAAAAGGTGGAAGTTTTTCCGGTGTTCACAA